GATGATTTTGTCATCGAAATAGAAAAGAAGAATGTCAGATTTGGTTGCAGCGATAAGCTTGACAATCGCGAATGAGCAGTTGCAGCAGATCTTACACCTCTCATTCACGACGATGGACTCAATGTCTCCTACAACATAACGCAGCACCGGCGTTCCACTCCATAGGGGTTCTACTTCATAGGTGTACCGCAAATGATAATACAGTACACTCAAAGCCGCATTATGATGATGAATATCACTCGTAATTGCATGCATCGGAAAAGCCGATAAAAGATGTGAGAGAGTTTCCGGGGGCTGTCTACAAACCCGACATCGAGTGTCTTCAACTTGCACTCCCATAACGCGACTCCGATAGACCAGGGTGTTTATAACGCCATCCTGGCACGCGCAAATGAAACCCTCAGTTTCGGACATTAAGCCAGCCGACATCAAGAAAGAGAAAGTCAGCTGGACGGACAGATCCTGCTCTTCTACATGATAAAAGAATACGCCATGCATGGGCTGGTCAACGTGCTAACGGGGCAAGGTGGACTGCCCCGCCTCATTCATGGCCGCTCTCCGCCGATGGTCATGCTGGCCAGTGAATCACGAGGCAACTGACCATCTTGACCACGACGAAACTCCAGACAGAACGAATCTGCTGCGGTATCTGCTGCCTTATACAGAAAGGCCCGTACACCGAGGAGTTCATCATCATACACGAACTTCAAATGTGGATCCAAACCGTTCATAATGTCATAAGCTAAACCAAGGATCAGACGCTCATGAAAATATTCCAAACTGACAAGGACCACTATGCAGATCTCCCCCTCCGATTTCGATGAAACTTGAATATGTTATAGGGGACCCAAAACTAAGGGACACGTATTTTTTTTAGCTGCCCATATTGGGTTTTAGGGGGTGAAAGTGCTCTCTGAAGTTGACCACCTCTCGGGGTCATTTTTCGATTGCACACATAAGGAAGCTTTTTGAACAACTCTTTCGCAGTGTATCATGAAGGTCACAAGGAATGATGAAAATGCGAATTAGAACCGTCTCCGGGGGGTGAAATATGGAGGGTAAACTACCCTTGTGAAAATTCATTTTTCTCATAGAAAAAAAAATTTGATGGAAATCCCATGGGATAAATTCCATTTGAAAAAGCAGAAAAAAATACAGAATACCTTTTTCGTTTTTTTTTTTAAATGGAAATTCAAAACTTGCAAAATATATTTTTCGTGAATTGCGAAATTTCAAACTTTTTCCTGTACAAAACGAAGCTTACGGCTAATGATGAGGGAAACCCTTGGGACAGGATCCAGGAGTGATGTCGGGTAGGTCAACTACCCTTTGGGGGGGGGGAATTTTTTTTAATTAGGGAGAAAAAATATCGATGAGAATTTTGCGAAACACATTTCGTTCGAAAGCATGAGACAATTCAAAGCACATCCTGCGATTCTTTTCCCCAAATTAAAATTGAAAGTAAAATACTTTTTTTATTTATTATATACAAGTATTCGATAAATGACTTTTGTGGGAGTTACTTTTGATTATATTAGCGAACAGAATTCATTTGAAAGAGTAAAGAATAATAAGAAATATCGAAATTTGAACCCATGAAAATGTCCGTTGCTAGTTGTATATGAATTACAACCTATAAATTATCCGTCTACTTGTATCAACTGTGTCATTTCTATGGTACTGACCATAGTCCGAACTAAATGGTAAGGATTGAATGAAGATCCGATATGGAAAGGAAACAATGATGGTAGTAATCCCCAAATGATGAAATTTAGAATATTCATTGATATTATTATAGAAGCTCAGACTATTTATTCCTTCTATTATTATGTTCTCAATCAGCATACTTTCTGTTGGGATCAATCTACAGTATAGATGGTATTAGGGGACGTAATGCGTACAAAAATGATATTCTTAAAAAAAATGCACCAAACAAAGTGATTTTTTGCACCATGAGCATCTGACTACTGCAATATTGGAACAGCCTTCAATATCACAGTGCGGATGAGATGATTGCCCGAATGCAAAATCGACAGGATTTTCGAATTCATCTGGTTTTGTAGAAAGGTAACAACTCTGAAACCAAGCATAACGAAATAAATTTTGATACCTTGGTGATGATAATTGATTATGGGCTAAAGACTGTAACTTTATGATATTGTTCCGCAAATGTAAATTAATATCATAGTCCATTAGGACGACACTATCCGAAAAATGACGAACATACTTCTTCCATATCCTAAAACCATATACGTCAAGCGGTTGAATTTTTCCAGTAGTCCCCTTTGGTATCAACATAGTTAATAATTCTTTATCCGGAGGAGTAATTTCTTTCATGATTTGAGGATAGTGTCCGCTCCAGGAATCGATTAACAGTAGACTTCTAGGACCCACGTTTGGGAAAAAGACTTGCTTCAACCAGGTTTTGAAATGCTCTGAAAAATCAAGTACTAGATGATAATCCTAATTATTGTATAGACCATATCATGTTTGTTAGGTCTTAAATATTGTCATACGTGAAGTGAGTTTTCCCGATTTTGAAGCGGTGATGAACACATTCGCAGGTTTGAAGATATTTGCTCTACTATTGAACCGAAAGATCCAGAAGGTTCATTCAAAACCAGGAAGAGAGGTGAAAGTAATTTTTCATCAGCAGAAATCAGAGGTTGTACTGTATAACTATGTGTCGTTGAGAACGATTGTACGACGCACGCTACTTGTTTAGGTATCGCGTCAAATGATCCCGGTAAAAAATCCCGGTCAAAAAATCCTCTCCAAAATGATCCCGAGTAAAATGATCCTCTCCAAAATGATCCCGAGCAAAATGATCCGCAACAAAATGATCCCCAACAATATGATTTGAGCGATAGTAGTAACGAGAATATTTCCCATCCATACTGCACCATTTTCCTTTAAATAAAATCGATAAATTATGTTCGGTTTTTCATCGAATAGTTTTTCGCACACACGCACACTCACGCACACTCGCTCCTCTCGCATGCTTGCATGGCTTCTCAGGACTGGCCTGCGCAACCGACTGAACTGACCAGTGACCTCTCACCTCTGACACCTGAGGCACTACTTGATGGACAGGTGTCCAGCGAACGCCCCCATTTAAATTGGGGCACGTTTGGACCCACGATGATCGATACCTGCCACCTTGCGGTCTTTCAATCGGCCTCATTTACATATCGGCCATCGTACTGTGTACATCTCGTTCTGCGAATTATTCTATTGTTTCGCGAATTAGTTCCTCTGCGTCATTTAGTTCTTTGAACTGTGTTAATAATTTTATGACCCGCGCATTTGTTTGACCATCTCGTTAATTTTAGTTAAAGCTAGCACGTATAAATAATTGACTTGTTCATAATTAAATTGACTATTGTGACCAACGTGCACGTGTTGTGTTTTCTGGACCTTTTCGCGCTCCCGTAGAAATCCATCGTTTTTTTGCCCATCGCTCAGAAATATTTCCCAAACCAGACTCGGCATCGACCATTTTGGTCCTTCGAGCCGGATCGGTGGAATATTTTTCGGTTTTTTGTGTGTTTTTTCGCGGCATCCGTGTTTTTCGCGAGAGTATGGGGACGCCAGTGCAGTGCCGTAACACCTGATCGGAGGGCCCCGCACCAGTGGTCCTACTTGCCAGGGACGTGTCGATCCCGTTCATTGCTCCACCCCTGGGTACTCCGTCTTCAGGGCCGTATCTCCAGTACTGAAGGACCGTTTCAGAATTTTCGCTCATCAGGACCGTATCAGCGTGACTCCAGGCCTACTCCAGGAATTATTGACCACCTTTGGGTATCTTGGACCATCGGAAAGCCCTAACGACCTACCTCAGGTTATTACGGACCTGCGCTGAAGGAGGTGGATTATCTTGCAGCTCGTTCCNGACTTTTGTGACCAACGCCACGTGTAGTGATTTCTGGACCTTCTCACGCTCCCGGAAAATCCGTTTTTATCTCGCCCATCGCTTCCTAATTCCACTTAAACCAGATTCGGCATCGAACATTTTGGTCCTTCGAGCCGGATCCGTGGAATAGTTTTCAGTTTAGTGGTGTTTTTCGGGTTTGATGAACATTTTTCCCGCGAGTGAACACGTGCTCAGTGGATAGACAGTGGTGCTCATCCTGCGGATCCCTAGACTCGTCGCATCGGACAACTCAAAAGGTGCTCAACCTGTTCTCAACGCATCGCTTCAGGAAACTGCCTTATCGACACGCGGGAAAATTCAAACGGAGCTTCTCGTCTAAAAGGGAAGTCAAATTAATTACAATTTTTGCGCTTCTCTGGGGTTTTGCTGATTTTTCCTCAAGTTCGGCTGCATGTGATTTATTTCTTTTCTCGATTTATTTACGCGTATTATATNCGATTTATTTACGCTTATTATTAACGCTTTTTGGATCTGCGCTGGAGTTCTGGGCTACGCTTTGTTTTCCGCATATTGCTTTTTCTTGCTTTTTGACCTGAATCCTTGGCTCTTTGTTTATTTTTGAGCATCTCTCCTGGCACGTTCGCTTATTGTTTCTTTTTTAGTTTTTCGCAGCAGTTGATCGAGGTTGTGGTTTTTCTTGTTGGTTTTCTTTCTTTTTTTGTTGACAATTCCACAAGATGGCAACTCTCGAAGCGCTGATCTCGCTGCAGATGACACGTGCATCCTTCATCGAAGGCATTTACACGGAGTCACAGGAGGAGAGCATCAAGTAGTTCGGAGTGACGGCTCTGGATTCCAAGCTCGTCATGCTGGAAACGTATTGGGCGAAGCTGGAAGCGTCTCATGAGAAACTCGTCGGCCAGAAGATCGAGAATTTGACCTCTCTCGATTATTTTAAGAATCACATCTTCGATGTTGTGCTTAAGCATTACGCTTCAGGTAGAGTAGCGCTGCTGCAGCTGTTGGAGAAGAAGGGGGCCCCTAACCTCAACCAATCGGTTCGAGTTCCTGGCGACGCGCAACTACAGAGTTCCACGCGCAGAGCTCTTCTGGAGATTGANTCATCATGCTGGAAACGTATTGGGCGAAGCTGGAAGCGTCCCATGAGAAACTCGTCGGCCAGAAGATCGAGAATTTGACCTCTCTCGATTATTTTAAGAATCAGGTCTTCGATGTCGCGCTTAAGCATTACGCTTCAGGTAGAGTAGCGCTGCTGCAGCTGTTGGAGAAGAAGGGGGCTCCTAACCTCAACCAATCGGTTCGAGTTCCTGGCGACGCGCAACTACAGAGTTCAACGCGCAGAGCTCTTCCGGAGATTGAGTTGCCGAAGTTCTCTGGAGTGTATAAGGAGTGGAGGCCATGGAGAGACCTTTTCCATTCGCTGGTCGGGAATAATCTGGAGATTCCTGGGGTCGAGCGAATGCACTATCTCCATCTCTGTCTCTCCAATGAGCCATTGAAGCTCATCTCTAATTTGCCCGTGTCTGAAGATTCCTTCGGCATCGCATGGAGAATCTTGGTCGATCGATACGAGAACAAGCGCTGATTGATTACAGCTCACCTTGACCAGCTTCTCAATCCTGCTCCGATGAAGACGCACGGTGCCTCAAACCTTAATTTATTGACGAGCTTCGTTTCTGAGGCACTCAGCGCGCTCAAAGCACTAGATCAGCCAACAGATCATTGGGGTCCAATCGTCGTCCACGTGCTCACTCGTCGCTTGTCCAGCAAGCTTCGTGAGGCATGGGAGAATAAAATTGGAGCATCGACTGAGTATCCGACACTTGAACATCTCCTCGATTTCCTACAAGGTCGTTCACGAGCCATGGAGACCTTGGAGGTTGGGTCTTCGGTGCACACATCGAACGACGCCTCTCGTCCTTCGCAGCCCAGCGTCCAGACTCGTTCGATGACCAAGAGTAGTGCCAAAGTCAATCAAGCCTCTGTGTCTTCGCATGCGCAGCAGTCAGCCCAGAAATCTCCCAGTCCAGCGCAAATACAGTCCACAAAGTCGACGTCCTGGGCCGACGCGGGCTATCCTTGTTCCTACTGCAAGATGGATCACTACATCGCTTCTTGCAGCGGGTTCAAGTCGCTTACACCAACAGCAAGGAAGAAGGTTGTCGAACGGCTCTATCTGTGCTACAACTGTCTGGGGAAGCACAGTATCAGAGTCTGCAAGACCACTCGTACGTGCCGGACATGCCAGGAGAGGCACCATTCCCTGCTGCATTTTGATCGCGCTCGTCGTCCAGCTCAACGTGGTCCAGCATCTCAAGTCCCTCGCAACGATGCAGGAGCTCAGCGCCCGAGTGCTTCTGCTCCATCGACCAGCGTGCCTGTCGTGACGTACACTCACACCGGTGATGCTGCTCAGGCTGCGTCTTCAGCCCATCCTCAGGCCTGAAGCGGACCGTCCCAAGCGTCGATTCCTTGTTCAGCCCATAGTTGTTCTGCGCAAACCTCTCGGCCTGGAGTCCTTCTCGCAACTTGTTTAACTCTTCTAGTGAGCGATTATTGCCCTCCGCATCAAGTTCGACTCTTGTTGGATTCAGGCTCCGAACTCTCGCTCATCTCAGATCAACTAGTTCGGAAGGTGAATTTAAAGAAAACTCGTAGTTCTGTCCACATAACAGGAGTGGGAGGATCATCGTTTGGGACAACGACCGGCGAAGTACATCTCACGCTGCAATCGATCCACTCAGAAGAACGCATTGAAGTTACAGCTCACTCCCTTGAACGTCTCACCTCAACGCTACCGTCCTTCTCAGCAGAGGGCCTCAAGTGGGATCATATCGAGGGTTTAGAGCTTGCTGATCCTCATTTCCGAGTCTCTGCACCAATTGACCTTCTCGTCGGTGCTAATATTTTTGGTCAGGTCATCAAGCCCAACGTGATTAGAGGAGGGGTTCAGGCTCCAGTCGCTCAACTCACCAGCTTTGGCTGGATTGTTTACGGGCCAGCGGGACCTGATCAACCAACATCGTACTCTTCTCATCACCTGAGCGTATCGAACGATGAGCTCAATGACCTTCTCACGAAGTTTTGGGTTCAGGAGGAAGTTCCTGGGCGCACTGACGCGAATCTCTCAACGGAAGAATTAGAGTGTGAACGCCACTTCCATCAGACTCACTCAAGAGATAGCTCAGGTCGATATGTCGTTCGTTTGCCCTTCTCAGCTCCAGTTTTATCATTAGGGAATTCCTATCGTCCAGTGCTAGCTTGTCTTCATCGTATGCTCGCTGGAATCTCAAAAGATGCGCACTTTCTCCAGCTTTACTCTGACTTTCTCAAGGAGTATGAGGATTTCGACCATATGAGAGTAGTAACTCGCTCGACTCATCGCTCTTCGTCTTCGGTTCAGGCGGATTCCGCTTGTCGTTCTGACGAGACGACCTTAGCACATGAAGCGCAAGCTTCAGGAGGGTTGAGGGTCTCTAAAGGGTTTCAGGTAGGGCCGTCTGACGCTCAAAGGAGTTACTATCTACCTCATCATGGTGTAGTCAGAGAGAGCAGTGAAACGACGAAACTGAGAGTAGTGTTCAACGGATCAGCGAAGACCAGTTCAGGGAACTCACTCAACGACATTCTCCACACAGGAGCCAAGTTGCAGAGGGATATTTCGGACGTGCTGCTCTGGTCAAGACAGCACAAAGTCATCTTCATGACGGACATCACCAAGATGTTCCGCCACGTTAGAGTTCACAAGGATGACTGGCCCCTGCAGCAGATTCTATGGACCGACTCAAGTGGAGAACTAGTCACGTATCAACTGACAACAGTCACATACGGCACGAGATCAGCTCCGTTTCTCGCAAACCGTGTTCTTCTTCAGCTGGCTGAGGATGAAGGACATCGGTTCCCTTTGGCCGTCTCGCCTATCGTGAAAGGAAGATACGTTGACGACATCTGTGGAGGTGCGGATACGCATGACCAGCTCGTTAGGACCGCGCAAGAAGTTCGGGATCTCTGCGCTGCTGGAGGAATGCCTCTGGCAAAATGGCATAGTAATAATCCAGCGCTACTCCAGTGGCTCGCTCCTGATAGTGCCTCCAATGACCAGGGAGTTTATGAGGATTCGGAGACCCGGATTCTTGGCTTGTCGTGGCAGCCCAGCTCGGGTAACTTCATCTTCTCAAGTCGGACCAGCGATGAATCGAAGGTTTCTAAGAGGAATATCCTCTCAGAGATCGCTCAGATCTATGACCCACTCGGATTTCTATCTCCTGTCGTGATCAGAGGGAAACTGCTCATGCAGGAGACCTGGATTGGAAAGCTCGGTTGGGATGAGGAAGTCCCAGAACAAGTTGCCCAGCGTTGGAAAAGTTTTCGAAATGATCTCACTCTGCTCTCGAAGTTATCTGTTCCNCTGATAGTGCCTCCAATGACCAGCGAGTTTATGAGGATTCGGAGACCCGGATTCTTGGCTTGTCGTGGCAGCCCAGCTCGGATAACTTCGTCTTCTCAAGTCGGACCAGCGATGAATCGAAGGTTTCTAAGAGGAATATCCTCTCAGAGATCGCTCAGATCTATGACCCACTCGGATTTCTATCTCCTGTCGTGATCAGAGGGAAACTGCTCATGCAGGAGACTTGGATTGGAATGCTCGGTTGGGATGAGGAAGTCCCAGAACAAGTTGCCGAGCGTTGGAAAAGTTTTCGAAATGATCTCACTCTGCTCTCGAAGTTATCTGTTCCAAGATGGTGAGGCCTTCTCCAGAACTCGTCGATTGAAATCCATGGATTCTCAGATGCTTCTGTTCTCGCGATGTCAGCCGTAGTCTATCTCAAAATCGCTAATTGAGATGAAGAGCCTCAGATTCCTTTGGTCTGCGCTAAAACGAAAGTAGCTCCTCTCAAACAGCTGACAATCCCAAGGCTAGAGCTCACAGCTGCGGTTATGCTTGCCAAACTCGTAAAGTACGTGAAAGGAGAGCTCAATCTCTCGAACGCTCCGACGTTTTTATGGACCGACTCCTCAGTTGCGCCTCACGGGATCAACTCGCACCCGTCCAGATGGAAAGAGTTCGTGAGAAATCGTGTCCAACTCATACAAGAGACCTCATGAGCTCAATGGAAACTCATTCCTGGCAAGGAAAATCCAGCTGACTGCGCATCTCGTGGACTAACGACAGCGCAGCTCTCTGCACATGAACTCTGGTGGCACGGACCACCGTGGCTCATGAACAGCTCATCGTCGTGGCCATCTCCAGAGCTTGCTTCAGTGACATCAGCAGATCTAGAAGAGAAACCTGGTGTCGTTCTGAGCGTGAAGGTCTAGCGCATAGAGATTTGGGATTTAATTCATCGCTATTCTTCACTCAACAGATTGCTTCGAATTACGGCCATCTGCCAACGCGTCATTGCTCGTCTCAGAAGAATTCCTGGATCATCGTTAGCAACAGCTCTGAACCCTGGTAACATCGAGCAGGCCCGACTGCTTTGGGTCAAGCTCACTCAGTCTGCGCATCTTTCAGCTGAGCTTACGACCTTTTCCAGAGGGCCACGTCTTAGTTCGTCTCACTCACTCACTAGATTGACAGCGTTCCTGGACCACTGAAATTTGCTCAGCTTGACTGCGAAAATAAGCATCAGATCATCGTACCTCGGGATTCGCAGTTCCCTCAGCTCATCATTCAGGATGCCCATCTCAGGACTATGCATGGAGGAACGCAGCTGACTCTCGGTCAACTCAGAAGGTCTTACTGGATCCTCGGAGGAAGAGCCCCGGTAAGATCATTCATCCTGAGGTGCGTTCCATGTGCCAGACAGCGAGGGATCAGAGCTCAATAGCTCATGGGCGAGCTCCCAGTTGCTCGTCTCACACCTGGCCGAGCGTTCCTCAACACTGGAGTTGACTACGCCGGACCAGTGTCTCTCCGCTCGTGGAAGGGGCGTGGTCATAAGTCGTACAAGGGATGGCTCGCGATTTTCGTCTGCATGACCACGTCCGCAGTCCATATTGAGGTCGTCTCAGATTACGCAGCCGATGGATTCATCGCTGCGTATCGTCGCTTTGTTGCCCGGCGTGGACTCTGCAAGAACTTGTTCTCAGACTGCGGAACGAACTTCTTGGGAGCTGACAAGGAAC